AAAATTATTTTTCACCACATATGACACTATGGTGTAGTGTGTATATATTATACAGCCAAATATTATTTTGAGAAGTGGTAAATATTTGAGAAGTAAAGAAGTGATCATAGTCTTTCATATGGTCAAGATCGGATTTGAATGGTGAATAATTGTGGTTTTGATCGGTCAAAAACTGTGGCTATGTGAAAAATAGAGATGGTAGTTTCATAAATTTTACAGATAAGAGACAAACGGGTTCATATATGAACCTATGTGATTCACATATGAACTATACGTTCATATATGAACTAATTAACTGATTCACATATGAACTCGTGTTATTCACGCATGAACCCATGTTATTCACATATTAACCTTGTGATTCGCATATGAACTAATTAACTGATTCACATATGAATTAATTAACTTATTCATATATGAACTATATGTGTTCATTTTTATTCATTCTACTCATATGATAAGAAAATTTTGAACGGAAACCTAAAGACCCCACAACAATAGTCACTCTAAGCTTAAAACGTTCTAGCGATATAAAGACATGATAAGGTAGGGGTCTGACCCTCCCTCCATGCCGATCGATTAGACCGACAACCGAAAAAGGACAAATGTATTGTTTTCCATAAAATCGAAGAGGAAATGTTAAAAAAAAAACTAAATAAAAAAAGTACATAATAATAATAATGGAATCCAAATCATACATGGTTCACCCATTATCTTTGAATCATGTTGGGGGATCTTTTCCTTATCAAAATCAAAGTCACTTCATGGACCCAACCACTCACCCAACCATGGTCCCCTTCACTTCTTTATCTACCGTCTATGTGTTTGGTGCATTTAATTTTAATTTTTCTACATTCAAAATATATATATATATATATATATATATATAAACTTGTGATCATATGAGATCAAAGGTTTTTCGTGAGACCCGTAAGACCAATTCTCAACCCTTGGATTAGATCTACAATATGAACATTCATAATCACAAAATTGTCACGAGACTTCTCAATAATCACAAAATTGTCACCGTACAATTTTAGACCATTAGATCATTAACTTATAAAGTTGATCAATGAACATAAATTGGTCTTACGGGTCTCACGAAAAACCTTTGGTCTCACGTGAACTCAACCATATATATATCTATATATATATTATATAGGTGGAGATTCAAATGAAAACACCTCCATTTTATGAGAATACGAGAACATTCTTATCATATGTGATAATACACGTGAGGGGACCTGGTGGTATGTGGACGCACGTTCTGTGACTTTAGATATCGCCAAAGGTCGTTTGCATCTATAATTTAGTATGACATGTGATGGTCTTGATGGATTATAGTATCACATAAATAAAATATTTATCACATGTGATAATTATGTAATGGGGCTTAGTTGTGTAAGAATGACTTGGCCCGCAACCTAGATCATGCTAAAAGTCGTTCGGGTTTTTGATTTAGTATCACATGTGTATTATATGTGAGGAAATAATAGTATCATATGTGATAATCTATAGTAAAATAGAGTGTTCTCGCCTTCTCGTAAGAAAAACACTTAACCTTCATAATTTGCACATGAAAAACACATCAAACCTTTACAGAAAAAACACATCAAACCTTCGTTGGAAGAAAAACCTAGCCGTCATGATGGTTTTACAGACGGAGGTTCAAACGAGAACAACTTCATATTACGAGAACGTAAGAACACCCTTATCACACATGATAATATATGTGAGAGGACGTGGTCTTATCAGACATGATAATACATGTGAGAGGACGTGGTGGTGTACGGACGACGTGTCCTACGACTTAGGTCGCACTAAAGGTCGTTCACGTCTACAACTTAGTATCACATGCATGTGATGGATTATAGTATCACTATAAAGAACACTCTTATCACATCTAATAATACCCGTGAGGGGGTTTAGTGGTGTAAGAACGACTTGACTCGCAACCTCCATCACAAAAAAAAAAAATCGTCCACGTCTCTTATTTCGTATCACATTTGTATCATATGTGATAGAATATAATATCACATGTGATTGTATATAATAAAAGGATGATCTCGCGTTCTCGTAAAATAAAGGCGTTTCTCATTTGAACATTTTCCCATCTCTCTCTCTTATATATATTAAGAGAGTAGGAAAAGATTCAAATGAGAAATTTCAAAAAATTTAAGAAAATGAGAAGAGATCTTAACATGATATTTGATATTTAAATGGTCAAGATCGTAGAGGATCATATATAAATATAGGAAAATTTGTGACTAATTTAAAAAATCCAAGAAATTTAAGGGGGCATTTTAAAACTTTTGTATAATTAAATCACTAACCCATTTTTTTTTTTAAATACCCACTTTCTTTTTTAAATAATAATTAGATTAGCTATTTCTTTTAAATTAAATTATTTAAAATACAATAAATATTTTATTTAAATAAATTATACCGAAAAAACGAGAATTTCATGATATTTAATTTATGATCCATGATGATATATATTTTTCAAAATTCACATATAAATCTTAAACTGATTTAAAATCTCTCTTATAAAACGTAAATTGACTTACAAGTTATAATTAAGATTCACATGTGAATCTATGTTATGATTCATGTGTTCATACATGAATCTTAAACTGATTAAGAATCTCGGTTATAAATTTTAAATTGATTCATGTACAATTAACAATTAAGATTCACATATGAACATATGATATTAAGACAAATATTTAATTTGATTTGTAGATTGTAAAATGTCCATTTTGGTTATTAATTCGTTTATGTAGTTGACATGTGGTTCAAGATCTTAGATTATAATCTCCATGTACGACCACATATAAACATGAATTTAAAGATGCTCCATTATATATGACATATAAGGCCTACCAGATATAAATCCCACCGTTATAATCATGTGATATGATATTAATGTAGAAGATGAAATACATATCAAGATGATCTTACATGTAAATATCAGTTAATAGTAGATTTTAGTATTAATATATATAGGGATTCATTCAAGGGAGAACTGATAAATTTGTGGTAACCATGAGATCCAATCTCAACCACAAATCAATAGATAAATTAGGAAATTTATAATTTTGGTAATTTTGAATTAAAATTTTAATGCAAGAACATTTTAGGTATTTTCTCTCCTCTCTCCGTCCCCCGGCCTTCGGCCACTGTTCTCTGGTGATACCACTGTAATACTTAAAAATATTGATTATGTTAAACAAAAGACACGATGTGATACCCAAGCACATATAAGATGCATTGTGATACCCAAACACATATGAGATGCATTGTGATACTACTGTGTTACATATCTGATCGACCACACAAACAATCTCAATAATATACCCAAGCACATATAAGATGCGTTGTGATATCACTATGGTATCACCGGGGGACGGAGAGATGAGAGAAAATACCTAAAATGTCTTTACATTAAAATTTTAATTCAAAATTATAAATTTCCTAATTTATCTATTAATTTATGGTTGAGATTGAACATCACGATTACCACAAACTAACAGTTCTCATTTGATTAGAATCTATATATATATATATATATATATATATATATATATATATAGAGATAGAGAGTTTGTTTCAAATACAACTCATTGCATTTGTACAACTAATGCAACCCAATAAATTGGAATATTTATGGACATGATGAGAGTTCATTTATTATGATTTGAATATTTATGGAAGATGAATGTGGTTCATTAATTATGATCAATACTTTATATTAGGAAACAATCAAAACTTCTATAAAATCACATGTTAATCAAATGAAATGGGCGGTTGAGATTGGGTTGTATTGGTTGCACAAATGTCAAGGGTTGTATAATAACCAACCT